TGTATATATAGTATGGGAAAGGTAATAGATTTGTTTTTTAATTCATTTATCCACATGTGTGGTGACATGGCCGCAAATTCTCTGGTACTCCTCTTATGGAGAGGTGAGGTCTATGTCCCCGCTTTTTTCCCAATCTGGGTGATTGATTCAATCAATAGAATAGAGCAGAAATAAGTCTATGTGACCTCTAAGACAAAGGCATAAAAGGTCATGTAGATTCTTATCCACTGGAACACTCACTCTTGGAGGCCTGGGCTGCCATGTAAGAAGTCCCACTACACTGAGGCCACCATACTAAAAAGGCCACATGTAGGCACTCTGGTTGACAGTTCTAGTATTTCAATCACCCCTGACAATGCACCAGACATAAGACTGGCCTTGTGCCCTCCAGACTAGTCCATTCAGCAGCTAAATATCACTGAGGGACCTCTGTCAATACCTTATGGAGGAGAAAAATCAGTCACCCACCTGAGCTCTGCTCAAATTCATGACCCATAAAATCATGAAAATGGTGGTTGTTTAAGGCTATTAACCTTCTAGGTTGTTTGTTACACAGCAACAGATAACTGGAACAACATGCAATGTCACAGTTTAGAATGTCATCTTTGGATACAAAATAATAAAGATATGTTATCAGAATATGAAATGCACTTTTTCACAAAGAAAAAAAATTGTCCCAAGTTGCTATGCTTCTCAGGGAGTGGGTTGCTGCCTCTAGGAATAATGGAGAAAGTCATTGTCTATTTCACATCACACAGGGCAGCTAAGAGGTAGGGAGAGTCTAGTCCACCTATACCTACAGCTGTGATGTGGCTTGGTAACCAAGGTGTTACTAAGTGGTTATTATGAACCTTGGGATAATGAGAACACTGGAGCAGAAAGTTTGATAACCTCTGTCTAGCTTCTGAAATAAAAAGTTCTTCTTAGAATAATTTTTAATAAAAAAAAAATCTATATATCTTCAAGATACTGGGGAGATGGAAGGCTATACTCACATTAGCAAGAAGACCAGGTAGTTGGCAAAGGGTGGAATGGAAATGATACCTAGGAAAAGACACTTGGTGACATCTCGGCGGAACTAAGCAGAAATAAACACAGATGCAGTTTTAACCCAAGTAAGTTCTTAATACAATAAACAATCCCTCCAACCCATTGTGCAGTAAACATCAATAATAGCACAGAAAAAGGACCAAGTTTATTTCTATCTCCTTCTAGATGGTAACTTCCTTGAGGACAGAATCTCAGATTTGTTCACTTTTGTATCCCAAATAATATCTAGTACAGGACCTGACATTGTATCAAATCTCTCAGCGAATTCTTCCTGATCTGCAGAACGAGGCCCAGACTTTCATTCTCACCTTCATAACTACCCGTCAAGTCACCATCATTCTACTTTCCTGCTGCACTTTTCATCCGTGTAGATTTCTATATGTTCAGAAACTAACTGGATTTTAGTGTTTACAACTTTATTCAGAAAACGTGCCAGAAACTCTATGGAGCTCTGCTATGGAGGGCTACAACTCTAATGACCCAGTGACAAATAATCTAATGCCTTCATTCAGTTCAATACTTTGATCTCGTGGCAAAGGGCAAAAGTTTGATCAACGGTGAACAAGAAAGAAAAGACTTGAGATCTTGGTAAACTGTAAATACCTCCCCATGAACTTCTGGATATCTGCCTCCAGCCCATACCTGTCTCAAATGCTCCATCTCCCGGTATGAAAGTTGATGAAACTTTATATTGTGCTTCCACATATTTGCCTTTATTCTTCTAGCCTTTTTGGCATCAGCCCATAACATCTGCAATCCTGCCTCATTAAAGTAGAGGACAGAGTGTGGTGTTATTCCAGTTTGAATTTGTCCATAACCTCTTACTCCATGTTTACTCAACATGCACACGCACTCGTCCCTCCCAAACACTACTCCATATAAAAGCTTTAAACTAGGTAACTTCAAACTCTCATGAGGCCAACCCATATCTCTTTTCTCATCCTTTTTTCTCTCTGCACATCACCTCTCTTCAAGCTAAGTTGGGCTTCTGTGATCTGTATGGAATGGTCTAGCTCTTATGATTCATTACTTACTCCTTTTTAAAAACAAGCTCCCTAACCTCAGGAAGTTTTGCTCAATTAACCCTATATATTCCGTAGCCAGATATTAACTTATCTCCTTTCTGGAACACTTTTATAAGTAGTATAATTCAATATGTTTCCATGATCACATACTTAATCTTCATTCTCTGACAATTCTTACATTTACCTAGGACTTTAATTTTAAAAAATGCTTTTACATTTATGAATGAAATGATATCAAGATGGCTTCAAAATAATACAGGAGAAAGCAAGCATATAAATGACATAAGATTGGCAGCCATGAATTGATCACTGTGAAGTGAGGTTAAGTACATGGGTTGGTTCATTATACTATTCTCTCTACTTTTGTGTATGTTTAAAATTTTCCATAATAAAAGGTTTAAAATCAAACAAACCAAAATGTTTTCAGACTCTTTTCTCATTTCATCATAGTTACAAACCTAGGGGCAGAGAAAACAGCCATTCTTATCTCCACTTTACAGATGAGGAAAAGTTATTTTTGAAGTCCATGAAGCTAAAAATAATTATAATATTCAGAGTCGACAATGTAGCAGTTTATGTAATTGGTATTATGATAAAAGTATAGAGTATAATAATATTAATACCTAACCCTTATTGGGCACTTGCTATGGATCAAGCCCAGTTCTAAGTACTTTACATGTACTGATTTATTTATTTATTTTTAATTTTTTGTAAAAGATGACCGGTAAGGGGATTCGTCTAACTTCGTATAATGTATGCTATACGAAGTTATTACGTGCAGCAAGACAAGACACATCTTGTAAGGGTTTACTATTTTAATATCCCTTAATGACCAATAATGAATTCTTTATAGTTAATCTGTTGTTCTCATGAAAACAATCTAGATTTAAAGAAATCAATCATTAATGAGCAGTAAATGACAGCTCCCCAACAACACAGCTGTATTTTTGTAAAAGTGATTAAACATTGTCTGCATTCATAATTGCATGGTTAATAAGAATGTTGAGCACCAAGTCAAGCATTGTTGCTAATGATGACAGATTACGATGCTACAAATGCTTTGGAGTTATGGATCCGAACCCGGGGCCTTGGTGTTATCAGCACTGCACTCTACCGAGTGAGCCACGGGCCGGCCTCATGTACTGATTTATTTAATCTTCACAACCATGTGGTCAATCGGTAGGTTCTATTATTCACATTTTACAGATGAGAAAACCATGAGACAGAGAAGTTATGTAACTTGTTCAATCACACAGCCAGTGAGTGACAAACTGGGATTTGAATCAAGCAATCTGGCTCCAGAGTGAACACCTGACACTATACGTATCATCTCCTAGTAACTAGCAGATGAACCAAAAGATTCAGAAACCAAGTATACGTAGTGCTATTTAGACTACAATATGCTACCTAAGATAGATTTGTGACAAGCATTAGACCACATTTTCTTATGGGCCAAGTTAACTGATAAAACACAGGGCAAGTCTCTATAACCATAGATCCCTGTCCTTGTACAGGATTAAGAATTTCTACTACAGCTAGGTGTATGGTTAAGAAAAGTGTAAGAATATACCTCTATTCTCCTCTCTCCAGTGTTGTCAGAAGTTATTTCTCATAACATCTTTCTAGAAATACCCTCAAGAAGTGCTAATTTATAAAAATTAGTTTAATGTTGAAGCACTTACAAATCAGAAAACATCCTAGTTCACACGCTCATAGCAGAACCTGCAAATGATCTTACTTATTCTAACTCTCTGACATCGACAAAGAGCTGACTCAGGGATTTCTATTTTATTTTTATTTTTACCTTTCATGAAGATTGTATACAGGACATAGAAGCGGGGGAAATGACGACCCAAGAAACGATGGTATTTCCCATTAATCACTTTTGTCTTGGTCACCACATAAGAGATCAAGCTCTTCACATCTGCCTTTGGAGAAAGGTGAATCTCTGAAGACCTACAAGGAAAATCAAAGAGACTATCTGGGAACCAGTCCTAGAAGACCCCTCACAGCTGGAGTCCCTAATGTAAAATACAAGCCTCAGAGAATGTATGCCAAGACTTGAAACTTCTGAAATCCAAGGAAGATCTTGGGGTCAAGGAACTATAAGCAAAGAGACTGAGAAAGATAGGGCAGAGGTCAGGCAAGTAGGGAAGTCAGGGTATGAGTCTGGAGACAGCACAAGGTTTGTGAGACAATCTGAACTACAGGCTAAGGCCAGAGACAGGTGGGATCGAGATAGCAACGGTAAGTAAATCCTGAGCTGAAAAAGGGAGGTTGAAATATGAGCTCAGGACAGACTGGGAAATCAGACAATATGGGCCATTGAGAGTCGAGAAGGTCAGGAAGCCAAGTCACTAGCGGGGATCGGAGTGCGAATCCAGAGCAGAAGAATTAAAATCCGGGGGCCAAGGCGTGGAACCCCGAGAATTAAGACACAGCATGCAAGCAAGGTTGAGCCACTGGAAGGGCCTGGACGTCAAAAATGCTTTTCTATCTTCAGGTCCCTCACCGAGGGGCCCCCCAAGCCAGGCCACAGCGACCAAGCTGCAGCTTCCGGGTGACAAAGAATCCAGGAGTGGCCGCCGAACCCCACAGAGCAGGACGAGCCCAGCACACCCTAGAGAGCGCCATCTTCACAGCCTGAGGGTGTGGGGGGGTCGGGGAAGGAAGAGGTCGTCTTCGGGTCAAAGTTCACCACACGTCGCGTTCGCTCAACAACGCATGCGCCTTCCCCGACCGCTGATTGGTAGCCATAGTCCACATAGCTCTCCCACAAGCGTGGCGAGGGATGGATTCAAAGACTAAGTGCGGAAGAAAGACCAGGATTGGACACAGCAGTACTTCCTGGTTTAAAGGCGCCGGAAACGGTCTATCCCCGAGGGAACGAAGGCTTATGGCAATGATGGGGTTTGTGATTCCTAGGACGCCCTCTCTCTGAGGGGCCTGCTGACCCTCCGCAATCCCCTAAGGCCTTAGGGTTTCCCAGTGCTGCCCTTGCACTCCACCTGTACCTGGGACGTCGGGGCCTTGACCGTTAGATATCAGATGTCAACTTGGCAGCGCGTGGGGCCATGGCGCCTCCTGGGGACTCGGAGGACCCACAGCGCCTTGTACAGGTGGCGGCTTGAATAGGCCGGGAACTGTCCATTTTCCAGTCAGTCTGGCGGCGAAGTTTGGAGCTTTGAGAGCGGCCTCAGTGCGGACTACGTACGCTTTTTCCGTTTGTTCTTGTTGTTGTTGTGTTTTGGGTTTTTTTTTTTTTTTTGGAGTTTCCTGAAGTAGGTTTGTGGGAAAATGTCTTTCGTTAGGACAAAAACTCGGTCTTGACTTAAATGTAACTTTTCTGAGAGGCTTTCTCTGATCACCGTATCTGAAGTAGTGCCCACAAAATGGACACACACTTTTTCTCTTATCACTCATATTTCTTTATAGCATTTATGACTGTATCACTGTTGTTGATACATTTGTTTCCTCGTTCGGTCGGCTCCCTGGCCTAGACCGAAGGCATGCACCTTCTCTGCTTTGTTCACTGCTGTTCCCCCAACACGAGTGCCATACCTGGCACGTAGTAGGTGCTCGATAAGCATTTGTGTATAAATTAATTAATACTTGAAACTGGAAAGGATCCCCAGAAGTGGCAGTTAGCTACCTTCAGTAGTTAATAGTCCACTTAGGTACATATCAATATTTAACCTCCACGTAGGGTGGTAGAAAGAGCATCCCATTTGGAACCACGGTATCTAGGTTCAAATCTTAGCACTGCGAATTCCTTTAGTGTGTGTGACCTTGGACATGTCACCTTAGCTCTGAGTTTATTTCCTCTATGGTAATACCTACCTTACAAGAGTTCTCTGAGGATCCAAGGAGAAAATGGTTGTGAAAGCTCCCACATCTGTATACAGCTTTATGGGTCACAGAGCTTTATATTACTACAGTCTATTTATGATTGTATCACTCATGTAGTCAGAGGAAAAATTCTAAAAGTATGGTCCTGGAGTGGGTTGGATCTCTACAAGTGTTAGGTAGATGAGGTGGGCGAGATAGAACGTTGACTAAAACAAGACGTGGTCTCTGTCTTCAGGCAGTTTCTAAGTCTGTTTCTCAAGAATGTCTAATAAATTAATTAATACTTGAAACTGGAAAGGATCCCCAGAAGTGGCAGTTAGCTACCTTCAGTAGTTAATAGTCCACTTAGGTACATATCAATATTTAACCTCCACGTAGGGTGGTAGAAAGAGCATCCCATTTGGAACCACGGTATCTAGGTTCAAATCTTAGCACTGCGAATTCCTTTAGTGTGTGTGACCTTGGACATGTCACCTTAGCTCTGAGTTTATTTCCTCTATGGTAATACCTACCTTACAAGAGTTCTCTGAGGATCCAAGGAGAAAATGGTTGTGAAAGCTCCCACATCTGTATACAGCTTTATGGGTCACAGAGCTTTATATTACTACAGTCTATTTATGATTGTATCACTCATGTAGTCAGAGGAAAAATTCTAAAAGTATGGTCCTGGAGTGGGTTGGATCTCTACAAGTGTTAGGTAGATGAGGTGGGCGAGATAGAACGTTGACTAAAACAAGACGTGGTCTCTGTCTTCAGGCAGTTTCTAAGTCTGTTTCTCAAGAATGTCTAGCTCTTGGGCCGGCCCGTGGCTCACTCGGGAGAGTGCGGTGCTGGTAACACCAAGGCCCCGGGTTCGGATCCCATATAGGGATGGCCGGTTGGCTCACTGGTTGAGCGTGGTGCTGACAACACCAAGTCAAGGGTTAAGATCCCCTTACCGGTCATCTTTAAAAAAAAAAAAAAGAATGTCCAGCTCTAAAATTCTTTCTAGAAAGAAGCTGATAAAACCAGAGACAGTTTTATGGAGGAAATGGGAAGGAAGTGTGCCTGGAAGAATGGAGTAAAGGGAAAGCATTTTGTGCAGTAAAAGAATATGGCGGGAACACAGGAATTCATTTATCCACAAATATTTGTTTAGTGTTTAATGCCTCTTCCTCCGTGCCCCCACACCCTAACACATACACACTAAGTGTATGAGCCAGCTTCCTTTTATCTTCTCTGCCATTACCCTAGTCTAAGCTACAAGCCTCTGCTGTACGCTACTGCAGTAGCCTCCTTACTGGTTTCCCTGCCATCTGTTTTGTCCTCCCTCCAACCAGTTCTCCATGCTGTATGTAGCCAGAGAGAATTTTTTAAGTTGCAAAACTAAGCTTGTCACCCCCCTTTATAAAACCTTTGAGGTTTCCTCTGACTCCTAATGAATTTAAGGGGGGAAAAAATTGACCAGCTTAAAAGGGGGGATGGGGAAAGAAAAGATAAAAACAGGTGTCTTCCAGTAACTTAGATATGTGTGAGGATCACATGATCTGCAAATTGGGCTAGGTGACAATAGAGGTGGCTGAATGATGCTGAAGACACTGATAATTTGAATAAAAGTGTGTTATAAAATTGGAACGAAAATGCATTATCTCTAGGGACTGCCCGTGGCTCACTTGGGAGAGTGTGGTGCCGATAACACCAAGGCCATTGGTTTGGATCCCTATATAGGGATGGCTGGTTAGCTCACTTGGCAGAGTGTGGTGCTGACAACACCAAGTCAAGGGTTGAGATCCCCTTACCCGTCATCTTAAAAAAAAAAAATGTATTATCTCTAAGTAAATATTTTATATGTGATTTAAAGTATGTGTTGCTAAATAATACTAGACTTAAATTTTCACTAAATTAGTAACTATTTAAAGCAGACATTTGTATCCTCATACCAGCCAGCTGCAAATAAATAAATAAAGTAAACATTTGACTATTTCATTTATATCACGTTGACCAAAAACTATCATTTTGTTCTCCTTGGGATCACAAGGCATTGACTTATATTTGGGCATATACCGGGGTCTTCAAAAGTTCATGGAAATATTTGTATTATCTTTTCAGACTTTTTTTTTTGGCAGCTGGCCAGTAAGGGGATCCAAACCCTTGACTTTCGTGTTATAACACCATGCTCTAACCAACTGAGCTAACCACCCAACCCTGTATAAGCTTTTAATTCCATTTTTCAACTTTTTTTTTTTTTTTTTTTTTATAAAGATGACCAGTAAGAGGATCTCAACCCTTGGCTTGGTGTTGTCAGCACCTGCTCACCCAGTGAGATAACCGGCCATCCCTATATGGGATCCGAACCTGCAGCCTTGGTGTTATCAGCACCACACTCTCCCGAGTGAGCCACGGGCCGGCCCCATTTTTCAACTTTTTGAAGTGCCCTTATATATTAAAATTTGCAATACATTTTATTAGGTATTAGGGGACATTAAGATGGGCTGATATAAGCTTGGTGCATACAGAAAACAAGAAGAAAACTTAGCCCAAATAAATGGTTACATATTAGGAATAGTTCATTTACTCGTTAATTCCACAATTGTTGAGCATCTACCCCAGGCCAGCCATTGTTCTTGTTGCTTGAGATAAACCAGAGATCAGACAGATTCCAGCTCTAGTTTACATTATAAAATGATTGAGAGATACATTTGGAATACTGAAGTGAGGCAGGATGCTTGGAAGCCTCATGTATGAAGATTAGGGATTTGGGGGTCAGACTGCTGCAGGGGTGGGGACAGGAATACTAATCAAGCCATAAAAAAGAATGAAATTCTGCCATTTGGAGCAACATGGATGAGATTGGAGAAAATTATGTTAAGTGAGATAAGCCAGGCACAGAAAGAGGAATACTGCATGTCTTTACTTGTAAGTGGGAGCTAAGAAACAAAGAAGGAAAGACCATAATAAAATTCTGAATTTTCAGAAGGAGAGAACAGACCTGTAGTTACTAGAGGTGAGAAAGGGGGATTGGGAGTGGGGATGGGGAGTAATTGAGTAAGGGACACAAAAAGTAATTATGATTTGTAATGATGAGCATGTAATAATATTGATTTGATCATCATATACTGTACACAAATACTGATAGTCAACTCTGTGTCCCATAAATATGTATTTTTTTTTAAAGTTGAGGGATTTGGATTTGATTTGAAAGGTATTAGGGAATTGTAAAGCATTTTGCCCAAAGTAGTGACAAGACAAAAATGGTGTTTTGTAAAAATGAGTCTGGAGTGATGTCGAGGATGGATTAGAGTGGAAAGAGAGTGGAGATTAAGGGTCCAATTATAAGGATCTGAACAAAAAATATGAGGAGCCCCAAAATGATGAGCATCTTTAAGTAGGCCCAGATTTGTGGTGCAATAAATGGGAACTAAATTGGAGCCACCCAAAAACATGTCATTCAGCCAGTCATCTATGGCTTGTCATCAGTATTTGCTGTTCATTCTGTAAACATTTGAGGGCGTGCTCTGCAGTCACTCTGATAGGTTTCAAGAAAATAAAGGTAGATAAGAGGCAGGCCTTTCCCTAAAAAAGGTCAAAAGCTTAGCAGAGGAGATTGACATTTAAGAATAATTGTGCTATAATGTGATAAGTATAGTAACAGAGAAATGTCCAAGGTCCAGTGAAAATCAAAGGAAGGAGTAGGAGATCGATAAATTCTGATGGTGGTGGTGGTGGTGCTTCCAGGTGAAGAGACGTCAGGTTTGAATGGGTCGTGGAAGATAAATTGGAGATTCCTTAGCAGACAAGTACTGGGAGGAAGGGCTTTCTAGGAAGAAGGAAGAACATGTGCGAAGATATGGAAGAATGAAACTTTGGTGAAAAGTAAGTCTCTTTTTTTTAGCAAAGATAATAACTATAGTGATTTGCCACATTTAGATACTAATTAATTGAGTTTGACAGACTGGTTTGGGACAGATTATTCTTTCCGAGGCACTGGGGAAAAATACCCGAGAATGAAAGAGTTTTAATTGAGTTAATATGGTTTTCTGATACTCTTTCAGACCTTTGAGCAAGATTAAAGTTTAATTCCATTTCTTTTTTCTTGTGTGAGTTTGACAGACTGGTTTGGGACAGATTATTCTTTCCGAGGCACTGGGGAAAAATACCCGAGGATGAAAGAGTTTTAATTGAGTTAATATGGTTTTCTGATACTCTTTCAGACCTTTGAGCAAGATTAAAGTTTAATTCCATTTCTTTTTTCTTTAAAATATTATAAAAAGAAAAGAACAAAGAATACTATAACATTCATCTGCATATCTATCACCCAAAATGAATAAATACTGCCATAACTATTTTTTCTTCCTAAGTGTCATTCTCCTTACTTTAGGCATCCCTTTTATGTCAATTCACTTTAATACTTTCAATATATATATATATATCACACACACATACATATACACACACAAATAGTATATGGTATTTTTAAATATTTTAAAAATTCATGTAATTGGCTTCATGTGGCACTTATTTTTCTGCATTTTGTTTTGTTTCCTCAGCTTTGTTTTCAGTATTTATCCATGTAGGTTAAGTTCATTAATTTCAGGTGCTGTGTGGTATTCCATCACATGAATGCACTCCAATTTGTTTATCCATTTGCTACTGATAGACATTTATGTGGTTTTGTCTTTCATTATTACAAGCCCTACATTGCAGGGAACATCCTCAAACATGCCTCCTTGTGCTAATGTATGAGAATTTCTCTTAAGCAGTGTTTTTAGAGTTTTTTTTTAAAACCACGGCTCATAGTAAGAAACACATTTTATATCAAGACCCAGCCCATACATGAAATAAAAGTTTAACAAAATAACACCTACCCTTGCTATATGTACTCCATTTTCTACTCTATTGCATTATATTCTATTTCTTTTTTGTGGAATGCTGGACATGACCCTCTGAATTGGTTTCATGACCCACTAATGGATTGAAAAACAATGCTCTAAGGCATATATCTGGAAGTACTTTTTGGATCAAAGGATAAGTGCTTTTTCAACTTGGACAGATATTGTCAAGTTGCTCTCCGGTGTGGTTGTGTCAATCCCACAGGGTATCAGAGTTTTACTTTCTCCAAATCCTCACCAACATTTAAAATGATCAGACTTTTAGGGCTAGCCGGTTATATTAAGTTTGTTAGAGTGCAGTATTGATAACACCAAGGTGGAGGGTTTGGATCCCTGTAGTGGCCAACTCCCAACCCCCCAAAAGGCCAGGCTTTTAGATTATTGATAGTCCAATAGATGTGAAGTGAATCTCCTTGTCAGTTTAATTTTCATTTTCCTGATTACTAGAAAGATGGAGCAGATTTTTATATATATTATTGGTTTGGATTTTTTTCTGGGAATTGTCTGTTCATACCTTTTGTCTATTTTCCTGCTGGGTTGTTTATCTTCTTTATTATTATGATTTACATAATAATAAAACAGATCTAGATACCAATCTTTTTCAGATATCATGTTGCAGATATCTTCTTCCTATTACCCTGTCACTTATATTTTAACCTTGTTTAAAAGATGTCTTTTAGATAGGAGTTTTTAATACTTATTATAGTCAATTTTACTAAAATTGTCCATTATGACTTCTGCTTTTTCATAATTTGATTTTTAAAATTCTATCTTAAGATCTTAAAGATTCTGTATATTTTTTCAGATAATTTTGAAGGTGATTGTTTTTGTTTTGTTTTGTTTCGACAACTTTAGGTCTTTAATTCAGCTGGGGTTTATTTTTGCCCATTTCTTTTCTGTCTTCTGAAACTTCTGGGGCTCACAATATGATTCTTCGCCATCTTTGGCACTCTATGTATTTTACCTCCTCCTTCAGAGTCTTTCTCTAGAAAAGAGGAGAACAGGAATATAAATGAGGCCCTAGGCTTAGAAGAGCATCTCTTTGAAGGCCTGTAAAAAAGAAGCAAGTAGCAAAGATGAGGCAAAGGGAGTCAGTCATCAGGAGAAATCTGTGGAAAAGGTGATACCCAAGGATGGTTCTTTGTCCTTCACACTAGGGATGTAGGATCCTGAAAGAAGAGTTATGTTTGTGGGGAGAAAAAAAGTCTCAGAAGGCTGGTCCTGAAAGGAAGGAAGTACAGACTTCTGCTTGGACCCTTATGTCCTACTTTAAAGCCCTTTCTTATCTACTTTCTCATTTTACCTGTCTTCCCTACGTGCAAACCATGTGTGCTTTTTCTGTCTTACACTAGAAGAATGTGAAATTGAAGCATAGGGTTACACAGAAGTTGTTGGTGAGGGTTCGGATAACTGTACCAGCCAGCTACCAAAAAAAAAAAAAAAGAAGTTGTTAGTGAATTTAAGATTAGGACGCAGGTCTCCTGACTATCAAACTGAAAGGTTTCAGGAGAGTTTGCCTGGAACCAATTTGTGAGATAAGACTTATAAGAGAGGAGGTTAGCGTCTCCAGAGGAGCAGTATTCCGAAATTGCAAGAAGTAGCCTTTGATTTCAGTAATTGCAGTCATAATCATTATCGAAAAGTCTTTATCAGTGCCTGCTTGTGGTGGGTAATTAAGGTAGACACTGAACTAAATTTAGAATGTATCATTCACAAACATGGTCTAAGAAGTTAGTTATACTCTGTTAGGGGCTGGCTGGTTAGCTCAGTTAGAGTATGGTGCCGATAACACCAAGGTCCAGGGTTCTGGTTGATCCCAGCTGCCAAAAAAAAGTTACACTCTATGAAAATTAACAAAACAGATAAGCAAAGGCATATCATATGACAATAAAAAGTGTAGACCAATCTAGAACTACTGTAGACAGATAAGAATTAGCATCAAATATGTTGTAAGTCAGTGCAATTCAAGGATAAGGGCATCACTGGTTGAAGAGCAGTGCCTAGTAGGGATTGGTTATAGGGGTTCCAAGTTCAGAGAAATTGTCACTGATCAATTAGCAGGGCAGGTCCCTTGCCTTCTGATTTCTCCCACCCCCTTCCACATGCCCTACCCCAAGCTTTTCCTCTTCCAGGCAATATAACCCTTGCTAAAGCTTTAGATTAGAGGAATTTTTACTTTGTGTTAGTACTTGGCTGTGAATAGGGGACCTTTACCCAGCTAGCATCAGCAGGAACCACCCTCAGGAGTCACTTTGTGCTGCCTGGCACGTCCACAGCAATTAGAGCAAAAGGACAGTGTTAAGAAAACTCTTTGAGGAAAGTTCTCCCCACCCAGCTTTGGCAGGGTTACCTGGGAGTGCTACCATCAGTATTGATATTCACAGTGGTGCTTGGCATTCCATCTGCACCATTTATTGAGCCTCCCTGGGGTTCAGTTCCTGTTGTAGGAAGAAAGCCCGTTCTTACAAGTATTCTCAATTTAGGTACATCTGCACATTCAGAAAGACTCATAAGTGTCTTATCTGGCTGAATCAACATTAGAAAGACTTCAGGTGTTTTTTGTTTTTTTTTTAAGATGACCGGTAAGGGGATCTTAACCCTTGACTTGGTGTTGTCAGCACCACGCTCTCCCAAGTGAGCTAACTGGCCATCCCTATATAGGGTCCGAACCCATGGCCTTGGCGTTACCAGCACCACACTCTCCCGAGTGAGCCACAGGCCGGCCCAAGACTTCAAGGATTTTGCAGTTTGATATCACTGTCAGGAAAATTGTTGTTTTAGGGGCTAGCCAGTTAGCTCAGTTGGTTAGGATACAGCCTTGTAACGTCAAGGTCAAGGGTTTGGTTCCCCATTCTGGCCAGCCACCAAAAAAAGAAAAATTGTTGTTTTAATGTAGAAAAAAACTGTTAACATGTTCACATACAAATGCAAATATATATGTTAGTGAATGAATATGTACTGCTTCAGGGGGGAGTTACTGATCCTGTCTCAGTCTTTGCACTTGCCTGGTATTTCTTCCGCAGGTAGACATTCATATAACTTGCTCTCATACTTTGATCAGATTTATGCTTCATAGTCACCAAGTGAGATCTCCCCTAACCATCCCTTCTGAAATAGTCCTTATTTTCTACCTCTGCTCTTGCTCCTCCATTTCCTGCTTTCTGAAATACGTGTGTTTGTAGGTCCTTACTCTAGTGTTGTGTGATGAAATTAAACAGAAGAGACTTAACAGCAGGATGAGTAGTGTTCTAGACTCCAGGAATTCTTTCCAAACTATTCCAATTCAGCATTAGAAACATAAGTCATTCTGAATCTCTGACCCTACCCCTTGAGAAGTTTCCCTCCGCCAACCTCTTTTTCAGCTGAGATGACTCAGGTAAGACTGACCCTAACCCCTACCTCCAAGGGTCAGCTTGGAGTTTCCCAAGCACCCCTGGCCACTGTTTTCTGTTTGAGACTTGGCTCATGACTCAAGCTAGGTAGCGGGCAGAGCCCTCCCTGGACTTTTTTTTTTTTAAGGCAAGTCAAGTGAAGCAGTGGGCGTAGAGAAAGAACAAAGAAGTTTGTAACAGGTTATGATCAATTAGTTGTAAACACCACTGCACTTAGACCCACCTGCAGTCAGGGAAGGTTTGGAACTTCTTAGAGACTGGTTAAATTGTGGTGACAAGAATGCTTTTAGAAATATGGACTGTAAAGATAAGTCTCAGATAGAAATAAGGAGTTTTGAAACTGGGGCAAAGATCATCCTTGCTATGAACTTGCAAGGAACTTGGCTGCATTCTGTTTAGGCCCAAAAGTTTTATGGAATGTGGAACTTCAATGCATTGACCCAAGGTATTTGGTGGAAGAACTTTCTAAGCAGCAAAACATTCAGGAGGCTGCATGGCTACTTATAACAGTCTATATTGAGTTATGGCAGCAAAGGAATGATCTAAAGCTAGAATTTAAAAGGGAAGCAGAGCAAAAAGATTTAGAAAATTT